GTTTCTTTCTTTCTGGGTAGAAATGTGGTTTAAACTCAAAGCCTCACATTTGCTAGATAGGATCTTTGTCATTTGTACCACAACCCCATCCATTTATTCTTTATTTTTTTCAGATAGGTCTTTCATGCATACGTGTAGGCTCAGTGATCATGGAGCCTGAACTCAAAGATCTAAACTTAAGGACTTGGCTTTCTCTCTTGAGGCTGGCACTTTAACACTTTAAACATATCTCCACTTCTGGCTTTTTTTTTTCTAATTTATTGAAGAGATCTTGAATTTGTATGCCCAGGCTGGCTTCTATCCGGGATCCTATGATCTCAGCTTCCTGAGTAGGTCTGAGTCTAATCACAAGGCAAAATTCTTCTATGGGTCTTCCATTTTTATCTAGGGGCAGCTTCAGACTGCAGTCTTTCTAATGCCTGCTGTGTAGCTGGGGTTACAGACATACTCTATCATGCTAACACAGTAAACCGTATTTAAAATCCAGAGGACTAGACGAATGATCCTCAGGACTTCCTACAAACAGGGGAGAATCACAAAGGTTTTTAGTAAGAAGGAAATACTTTGAGTGAGTATGCCACTCTTTACATCCTATATTGTACCATAATTCATTATGGTACAACCCCCTCCTAAAATCTTGAAAGGTTAGAAATTTCTCATTTGACTACTATAATTATTCAATTATTATTTAATGAGTACTTTGAAAAAATAAGAAGATAAATATTACAGTCAGTGTATTATTTGGCTGGTCTTTACCTGAAGCCACTGCAAGAAACCTACCCATTATTTTCCTTAAAACTATTCTAGGACCAAGTGTAATGGTGCATGCTTATAATCTTAAAACCAAGTGTCATCACCTATAATCTCATCTATATAGAAGTGGAGGCAGAGATAGGAGAATTACAGTCCAAAGCTAGCCTGAGCAAAAGCAGAAAACAAACTAAAGTAGAAAGAACTTGGGATGTAGGAAAGATAGCAAACAAGAAAGAAGAAAATGTAAAAATGAGAGTCCTATTTTTTAATTGTTTGAGGGAACCAAATTGCACATGGAAATTTATCTTGTACAGACTTAGGAGCTTCTTAAGCACATATTCCGACACACATACACACACACACACACACACACACACCACTCCTCATACACAAAAGTGCCCCTCATCACTACTTATGTTTCCACATTTATTCAATGTGCTTATCTACCCACCCATATTTCAATTCTGAAATATGCCACATTATACTGGGGGCAAAGGGACAAGATGATTCTTTTTGTATAATATGTGATGTGTGTGTATGTGTGTGTGTGTGTGTGTGTGTGTGTGTGTGTGTGTGTGTGTGTGTATGTATATATCTATCTATCTCTCTCTCTATATATAGTTTGGCCTGGGTACTGTCCTTGAACTCTTTTACTCAAGGCTAGTGCTCTACCACTGAGCCACAGCGCCACTTCTGGGTTTCTGGTGGTTAATTTGAGATGAGAGTCTCACAGACTTTCCTGCCTGAATTGTCTTTAAAGTGTGATCCTCAGGTATCATCCTCCTGAATAGCTAGGGTTACAGGTGTGAGCCACCAGCCACCAGCTAAAATAATTTCATACTTTCCTCCTTTCTCTCCCGAAAGTAATGACATTATTCAAGATGCATGGTACTCAAAATGTTGACATAAAATCCCTCTGTACATTTATTTAAGGATAACTAAAATAATAAAAGTAAAAAGAATGAAATTTTGAGTGAACCAAGAAATTATTTTGGCTTATAGTTCATATTTGTATACCACCAAAGACTATACAAACAAAGGCAATTGAAATGTGCTGTTAATGAATGGCTGCAAGAAAAGATTTCAGGTAACTTATATGCAATTTAAGTTCTAAAATGTGCTACATATGGTTACGATAATGAGCCCATTATTGAAAGGAGCACTTTAGCAATATATAGGAATCTATATGATATTATGCACCTGTACTATGCACACACATTATCTTCATCTCCCTGAACATTAGGTGTGTCATTTTCACTTAAGAACAGCTAAGAAGCAGAGATGATGAAATCTTTCTCATTTTAAAAGCACCTTTTAAGTCCTATTAAATTACCAGATAGAGGTACAGGATAAAGTTGGAATTAAAAGTCTTAAAGTTCACACTATTTCATTGTAAATGATTAAGTAAATATAGTATTATTTGAAAGAAACAAAGAAAATCTGGGAAACAAAGACTAAAGACAATACATATTCTTTTATCAAATATATAACAGACCAAAAAATCTGCCTATAATTAGTCTTATCAAATGAGAAATCTTCATTATATAGTAAAGGAAAAAAGTTTGTGTGTAATTCTCAACTAATTCAATTTTTTCTTCACTATGGATTGTTACCAGAACAGGATCCTGAGAAATCATAAATAATACCAGAGCATATCTTCCATGAGGAGGCAAAACTCTAACAGTTTTTCATACACTATAAAAATGCACATATAAATAACCTACCAAGCAAATATCAATGCAAATCTATGTATCATTTGTCACTGAATAAAATTAATTCCTGTGTCTAGCACAAGGTTAGTCAGTATATCTTTGAAATGGTACAAGCTTCTCTAAATTTGAAATTCATGTGGAGAATAAGCACACACCTCTAAGGAGGATAATAAGTAAATGGAGAGCAAGGAATTCTGGAAGACTACAAAGCTTGGAGATCCTATGAAGCAACCCTTTGGTTATCCATGTGAACACCGAGTCCCAAGTGTTCAAACAGCCTAGAGGGCAGTGTTGTCCACATCCCAAATTTTCAACAATCCCCAAGGAGAAGCTGTCATCATTCTAGGTATCCAAAGGCAATCAATGTCAAATGTATGCTCAACATTCAAATTCAGTGTCCACGGTTTCCTTTAGTCTTGACATAGAAGATGCTAAATATAGAAGTAGTTTCATATAAGCACAATTTAACATTGCTTTCTTAGTCTCTCTTCTAAACCTGGACATCTATTTTTTTTCCCCTGACATTACTATACATTGTCTTGTACAATTATGGCCCAAACACCCCCCCTTCTCTTATATTGCTAAATCACAACAAAATATGTCCTTAGATGAGGAGAAGAGAGGTAAGGAAGAGAGAAATCAAACAGAGGGAGAAAAAGGAGAAGAAGGAGAGGAAGAAAAGGAAGAAGGAGGGAGGGAGGGAGGAAAAGAAGGAGGAAGTGAGAGTGAAAGGAAGAGAGAAATGGTGTCTTCCTTGCTAGCACTATTCTAGCAAGCTGGTTAATTGCATTTGTTTCATATAACTCCAAACCGCCTGGAATGGTAATTATATTCTGTAACACCAAGCCCTTCTGATTTCTTCTGTCACTGCACTGAGCAATGTAACTGTATTCCTCTTGGAGACACACTGATTTTTTAAAAAAAAGGACAATTCTATAACCTAACATATAGTTTATACATATCATGAAATCATGGTTCATGAAGATATACTGTTTAAAAAGCTGTTTCTAAGTCTTATCATCCAAATCAAACACATTTGGGACAAATTTATAAACCTTTATATTATGGTAATGCATATGTACTGTACATGTAAATGTATTTGAGAAAAATGCATTGTCACAGTGTAATTCACAGTGGTCAAGTCTGACTATTTCATATGGAGAATCAAGCAGTGAATACACACACACACACACACACACACACACACACACACACACACACACACACACACACACACACACACACACACACACACCCTTTTCCTCCTATCGCTGAGGGGCAAAAGTACTCCTGTGGTCCATGATTGAAAACAGCCACTTGACAGTAGGTAAACTCATCTGTATTGCCTCATGTTTATAGAAAGCCTTCCTTTTTGAGTCTGATACGTTAGTTTCGCGCAACACCAGCTGCCAAGACCAAAGTTAGCTCCCACAGATGGGCAAAAATAGGCAGTGTCCCAAATAATGAATTCATCCTCAATGAAATGCTCAAGGAAAGTTTGCATAGCTCAAATATTTAGACTCATATACCTCAGCTCTTCGGCAAGTGCAGGAATGAGGATCTGACAGCCTTCCAGTCCACATTTCTGGCAGGGATGAGCTTAGTTCCTTCTTTATACCAATACTTTTCATTGATAGAAAAAAAAAATTAAAGTCCCTAGAAGGCTAATACCAAATGTTCTTCTGACTTTCAGTGAATGGTAAACCTCCCCCCAAAAGGCATTTTAATGATTATTCCCACTTTTCATTCTAAACAATTATAGGAATGGTTTTGTACAGGTCTTGCAAGAAACTTAATTTCTGTGCAAATATCCCAGGAAAGCCACTTGGAACAAAAGATAGGAGAATCAGGCAGAAGACTATGTGTTTGACAGTCTGATTCAACCTAGAGGGAGACACCTAGCGCACCTGTTCCAGGTCCCCATTGTGTGAAGACACTGGTGAGTGAACTCAGTGTCCACACCTGCAGCCAACTCTTAGCCCATGTATCCTCCTCCTGGAGCTTTGCCCAGTCTCACTTCTGACAGTCCATGATCTAAATTCTTCATTCTCATTTCCTGCTAGAATTGCATTCACTGACATGTAGGTGATGCACATTAATCTCTGAGATGCCCACTTTCAAATTCTCAACCCACTGGCCCTGTCTTGGAGTGTCTGTCACTATAATTCTTCAATTTCTAAGCCAAAGTTCAGGCAGAGGAACAAAAACAACCTAGATAGCAGGTTCAATAGTATTGGGCTCTTTCAAGAGACTTATTTTCATGTTGCTCCCCCCCCTCCCAAACAAAGCTGAATGTTCATCATTTACTTCTCAACTTCTCAATTAATTAAGTAGAATAACATCAATAGCAATAATAACAATAGGTCCCACTTGCAGTCCTTTAGAAACAAAAGACCCAAAAAGCTGTATTCCCTAAAAAGCTCCTGCCAGGCCCAAAACCGAATAACAGACAGAATGCCATTTAATTTAGAATCCACCTCAGATCCAAAGAAATGGAGGGGAACAAGGAGCGAAAGAAGAGCATTGTCAACTTACCATCCACCCGACCATAGATAAATCCACAGAGCAGTAGTTGTGTAAACAGCAGACTCATTTTGACATATTAAAAAGGATCCAATTTGTGTAAGAAACCAATCCCAGAGAGCAAAAGTACAAAAATAAGTATCAAAAAAGGAGGTAGGTCCAAAGTTGAGACTTTCCTAGATACTAATTAAAGTCAAGAAGAGCCAATGGCAGGATCAGAAGGAGCGGGTGGAGGGGTCTTGAATGGGGGCAGGTTTAGATCCATCCAAATTAACGGAGGGCACTTCCAAAACAAAAACAAAAACAAAAAACACACACACAAAAAAAAAACAGCTAATGTAGTTCCTAAATTCCTCTCCCAAATTCACCCCAGCCGGATCATTCACACGTGTGCAGCCCTCGCTCCTGACGTTCCACCGCCATCCAAAGCCAAGTTCTTTCTTCAGGAGTCAAGGAAATGAAGGGGGAGGAAAAAGATCTAATTCCTAGAAAGTGTTCCACAACTTGTCAGCGCGCCGTCCAAACACCCTTGGCCTGTCTACGGTCGGTCCCTTCTTGCGTCTCCTCTCCGCAGCACCGACACGCCTGGGAGTTGTTGTTGTTGTTATTTTGTTTGGTTTTTGTTTGGTTTTCACTTAACTTCCATCCTAAAGATGTGTCAACGCAACACTTTGCAAACAAGCGTCTCTCCTTCACAGCCGCGTTGCCCTCCCGCCCACCTTCCTCTCTCCCTCTCTCTCTGTCACTCGCGCTCTCTCTTTCTGGAGAACAGGGCAAGCAGGACGACTCTGGGTGGAGAATCGGAACTGGTACGCGGAGAGGCTGCGGGGAGGGAACAGAGGAGGGGAGGCTGCGGGGAGGGAGGGAGGGGCCGGGCTGAGCTCTCCAACCAGCCCCGGGGTGCTGCGGCGTCCGCCGCGGTCCAGCCGCCGGCGACTGCGGGGGCCGGGCGCGCGGGGGACCTGGGAACCAGCGTGCGGCGAGCGTGCAGACCGGCCGCCCGCGCGGACCCGCCGCCGCCGCCGCTGCTCGGGCAGCCGGGCTGGGCTGCGGCACGACGGCTTCCTCCGGCAGCTGCGGCGGGTGGAAGGACTTAGAGGAGGGAAGGCGAGGCGGCGGGCGAGGAGGGGAGGAATGAGAGCTGCTTGGAGTCGGCCCCGAGGAGGGTGGGGGGGGGGAAACTGGAGGAGGAGGAGGAGGGAGTCCGCGGGGGGTGGGGGTGCGCAGAGCTCTCCGCCACCCGCCTAGCCTGCCGGGGGATGGAGAGGGGTCCTGCCGGGTGGAGAGTCCTAGAGGGGCGGAAAGGAGCACATTTTGGAGCCCTGCCGGCTACCGAAGGATGGAGGCTACCGGTTACCTCCCGTCCCTGCTCCCAGCCACCACCAGCCGCCCCCCCCGATCTCCACCCCAACCCCCCCTTACTCTTTCCCGCCCTGGGAGGAGAAAGGTGAGCTCCCGCTCCTCCCCCCGCCCCCCCCCCCCGCCCCGCTCCCCGCCGCGGCCCGGTTAATGGGCAGGTAATTTTCTCAGTGAGTGATTTCACAGAAGCCTTTCCTAATTATTCATCCCTCCGTCTGCTGGAGCCCCGCACGCGCTTGCAGCAAAAAGATCAGCCTCCAGGACCGGAGCCTGGGCGCAGCCTCTGCACTGGTTAAAATCACACACGCACACACACACGCACACACACACACTAGCAGGGGGGAGAAAAGGGGAAGGAAATGGAAATAAAACCACCTTTGGGAGTGGGAAAGGTTGTGTGCGACTATTTCCTATGCGGTTAAGAAAGGAACCAGATTTTTTTTTTTTTAAAGAACTGGGCGAGAAGGGGCGGGGAGGGGAGAGGGTCGCAGCAGAAATCTCTCAACTTCTACCATCTCCTTTTAGCCAAGATCTACCGCCTTCTGCCGAATCCTGGGCTTGGGGAGGAAGGGGAAGAGGCGGCCTCCCACCTCCCTTCCCCTCCAAGTCACTCCTCGGCTTGTGACCTCTCCAAGATTGGAGTTTGGGGTCTGGGAATACGAGGGAGACCATACTAAAGAGTTCGGAGGGCCTCGGAACACACTCACTTTTAAGCCCCCCCCCCTCCCCGAGAGGTCAGCACCTCGGAAAGGAAAGTTCACGGGTTGGGGGGTGGGGTGGAAGGTTCAGATCCACGAGGAAGACTAGGAAGCCAACAAAGCTCGCACAAACTCCAAAAAAGAGCCGAATGTCAGCCCTAAATGAAAGCAACAACTAGCAAGCACAGGGCATTCCGGACTCGGGATGCGTAAGGAAGGGCCACATTACATCAAAGGGATGCCACTGAGAGAGCTGTCCCAGTGTGGTCCGTGTGTCCGGGCCCACGCGGGATCACAGGCCTGCCTGGTCGCTGTTTGATGCTTGTGGGGTGATTAAAAGGCTTACAGGAACTCACGCAGGTCTCTGAGCAGAGCGAAAGGCTGGATGGTGAGGCTTTAGTTCCCCCTACTGGAAAACATTAGCCAAGGGATTCTCTCCTGTTGGGGTCTTCTGAGGGAAGAGCCTTTTGTTTGGAAGGATACATTTTTTTTTTTTTTTTTTTTTTTTGGTGCTGCAGCTTTACTTAATTCTTCCTGAGGGTATGGAATTGTGTATTTTAAAATATGGTCGATAACATTCACACAATAGGGAAGGGACCCTATAGCATTCACAGGTTCTTAAAGATTATGGTAATGAAATAGCCTTGCAAAAGAATAAAACAAAATCACTCTTTTCATGAAGGGCTAAGAATAATTTCTGCACACTTTTGAACTACAGTATTTAGTTGTTAAGGGTAAAAAAGAAACAAAACAACCCGTTACTGTTGTGAAGTTAAATTACTTGAGCTCTCTCAGTAATGGTGACGAATTAGCACCATATGGGGAAAAAGAAGAAACCATTAAGAGTAAACAAGTTCACATGGTACCCTTTATCTAAATTAGGTAATGCTGTGGTCTTGAATCATCCGAAAATGTTTTGATTAACATTTCTTTTACCACTCTGAAATATGGGGAAATAATGCATAATTCTCTAAAGCGTTCAGTGTAGCTGGGTGTCTGTGGCTCATAATTTGCTAATCTGGAGTCTGAGAGTAGAAAAATCTCAGTTCGAAGCCACCCAGGGCGGGCAGAAAATTGAGGAATAATAATGAGCAAAAAGAAAGAAAATAAAAGAAAAACAAACCAGAAGGCTAGAGGTGTGGCTGAAATGGTAGAGTATGTCCTAGTATTTCCCCCTCCCCCAAAACAAACAGGCAAACAAACAATTCAACAACAAAAATCCTTTCCTTTTTAAACAAACATTGCCTACTTTTTAAAGACAAGGGTTACAATACCTACCTCATTCAAATAATCTACCTCCCTCATCACAACCAAAGATATTTATTGCACATGTGTGCTATTAAAAAGAATCCTGAAAATAGTGTGGTTCTAGTGAAATTCGCAAATTGAGTAAGAATTTAGATTTTAAGATAGACTTGAGAAAGAAAAAGTGGGAATCAGTCACCTGGAAGAATTTTCTTCTGGTTCTTCATTTCTCAGGCAAAGAATAAAGTGTATATTGTAAACTGAATTGTAATTGTGTTTCTTTTTTGCTTTTTGTCCTGGTACTTGGGCTTGAGCTCAGGGAATTGATGCTTTACTTGACTTTTTCACTAAAGGCTGGTGCTCTAATACTTGAACCACACCTCCACTTCAGTCTTTTTTAGTGGTCAATTGGATACAAGAGTCTCACTTCTCACTAGACCTTTTTGCTTGGACTGGTTTCAAACGACAGTCCTCAGATTTCAACTTCCTGAGAAGCAAGGATTACAGGCATGAGAAGCCAGTGTCAGGCTGTAAATACTTTTCTTTAACCTATAAAACTACTTGAGAGGTGAAAGAAGTGCTTGGAGAAGCAGGATGGTTAAGTCGGAAGAGACAAACCCACCAATCGATGTGCATCTCCAAATCAGAAAAAAAAAAATGGCACAGAAAGTTACCCGTCTAAGGGAGAGAATGTACAAAGAAATAAGGGTACAAAATAATGTACAAAGAAATCTCCGTACCAAACTGTCCATACCAAACATTATTTTGCATTCAAAAATTACCTAGTAAGGGGCTGGGAATGTGGCTTAGTGGTAGACTGCATGCCTAGCACGCATGAAGCACTGGGTTCGATTTCTTAGTTTAGTAGAACATAAAAAGAAAAAGCCAGAAGTGGCACTGCGGCTCAAGTGGTAGAGTACTTGCCTTGAGCAAAGAGAGGCTCAAGAACAGTGCCCAGGCCCTAAATTCAAGCCCTAAGATTGGAAAAAACAAAAAACTAGTAAAACAAGCCAAGGATTTAGAGTGATACCTACTTTTAGAAACTTATAGAAACCATTTAGAACATAATTTCTGGAACCAAGAAATTTTCGAGTCTATGTTTTCTGCTTTTCTTGAGAACAAGTTCATATATGATTTTTAAAACTACCACATTTGACAGGAAATATGCCTAATTAAAAAAACACCTCACATTAAAGCATAGTTTAGGATTATGGTGAAAACTCTCATATAAATAAGCAACAGTAAGAGTCCTCAGGCAGGAATTCAATATGGAAAATATTGAGTCCAAGAGAAACACAGATAATACTTTCTGAGAGACTTGATTAGATCTGAATGACAAAAAACCCTGCATATTCCAATTACATGTAACACACTTTCAGTGAGCACTATGTAAGAAATGGATTACTCACACTTACTTTTATTTTTACTTAAAGGGAATGCTTCAGAACCTGAAACTTGGACAAAAAAAATTAGAAATTCAGTCTTAGCAGTGCTTTTGCTCAGAAAGAATGCTGGTTTAGTGTTTTTGTTTTTTTTTTTTATTAAGTCAGAAAGCCAAAATAATAGCTTAGAACAAGGAAGCCGCTATCGCCAATTCTGTGTTTATGATACCAAAAATCAAATAGAGATTGGTCTAGGATCTCTTTTCATCTGTAATTTTTTTTCTTTTCTAAATAAGCAGCTGAGTAGAGAACTGTACATGGAAATTCAACTTTCTTTCTGGAATGCTATCATTATATACTCAAAATGTGTCTACCAGATAAATATATATTTTAATAGATCTAAAGAATATTGTGAGAGAGAGACTATAATTTACTCTAATTTGAGTTAGGTGATCAAATGACCTCCTTTGTGATTGGCCTTCCTGGAAAATATAAAATAAGCATATGAAGGCAATCTGCATAATATAAGATTTAAAATAATGCATACTTATTTTCCATATGAGATTTCTCAGTGATGTGGCATAAATTGGAAGACCTCAATACTTTTGTTGAGCTCTTC